GTACTAGATCATCGATGGCGCGCGTTGCCGCGCCCGTCTATTTTTCAGTATAATGGCCGGAAATTTGATAAATATGTGATGGCATGGAATATTGATGTTAAATACGGAATAAGTTACATAGAATTTAAAGACAAGGAACTTAAAATTTTGGAATAGGAGAACGGAGCACAATAGTGTAATCTGTGTACTGTAGTTGTAAGATCAGTCTCTAAAATCTGATTCCAACCTGCTAGGTATGGTAAAAAGACAATTATAAAGACGTTGTACAATCAGTGTTAAATAATCTCCCTTAGCACTGAAATCGGAAACACACACATCAACTTGTCTTGTTCTTGATTTTACTGCATTGACAGTTTATCAATTGATTTATTGATAGATAAGATATAATCAAAGGGATCATCACATTACTTCACAATATCCGGGAAGGTCATTCCTAAACATCTTAAGAAATGTTAAATTAACCTTCACTATTTTATGATAAAAACTTCAGGGCATAATTTCCATTAGATCAGTATGGGTCTTTTTTATTATCATGTACATTGCATAATCTGTCCAACTAAATACTGAATTTATGTAACCTTGTAAAATTAGAAGGGATTTTGATGATATTATTTAAAAAATAAGAGACATAATTAGGCTAATAACATGAATAGTGAAAAAAAGGCAATCCACCAAAAGGTATTGATTTTACTTTATAACTTGAACACACTACATAGGAAACTTCTGACAAAAGTTTCTAAACCACCTAAAAATGCTTCTTTTGTAGTACTTTCACAATAATACTTCATGTCTGCATTCATGTTTAACTTCAGGGGATCGGTGTAAAAGGAATATTTTGAAATCATAATGCACTATGCATCATTGCAGCAGAAGGAGGATGCCTGCAGCCCAATAACATTTATGTTATTTGCCTGGTCATTAAGGACAGTAAAATATATGTTATAAGTGAACTGTGCACAACTTTATAGTCGAATCTGATACTTCTATAACCTATATGACCAAGCAAAAATGCAGGGTAATAATACACTTACCACTCTAAGCTCTGAATCTAGCACCATTTACACAAATTGAATACTTAAATGTCCAGAAATTATAAGCTCGAGAAATTTCTGGCTAACAATACACTGATATGATGGCATCTATTTTATTGTCAAAAGTAGCAGTTTCCCCTACCGGAGCACCTTTTGCAAGATATAATCAGATTCTCCACCTCTTAATTCAAATGCATGTCTCATATATTCCCGAATTCAACTGTCCAAATATTAAGAAGCGAACAACTCCGGCAGCTCTTGAGCCAACACATTGTACCTGAAACATAAATGGTATGGTAAGTTGATATGAACATCCGTTACATCAATGGACTATGGAGGTTAATGGCATATGATGTACTGAGTCCATGATGTACTCCTCGGCTCTTCGCACATAGAGAATAAAGACCGTTGAGCACAATGGTTCCTCTTGTGCATTGCATCAAACACATGACATGTATACTGTCAAAGAAATCAAATTCTGGATAGCTTCAAAAACACGGGGCACAAAAGGTTAATTGGGAAGATAGTTTGCTTGAGCAAAGCCAGCCACCGCGTGCCGTGGCTGCCATTGCCTCGCTTGTCGGATGATCAGTGCACGGAGCACCAGTGAAAGCTTCATCCAAATATTTATGTTACAGACCTTTTTTTTGCAGGAAAATATTCCAGACCTTATTTCTATGAAACGAATAACTAAGCATACTTTGTATCATTTGAACATTGTTTAAAGAAGTAGAGAGGGGATCGGACCATATAAGTTTATTTCAGTAGGCTCCCACTGCTGGCCACCACTATCGATACAAGATGTAAGATCGAGCATGACAGTACAACCTTCCCGTCCTCCTTGCTCCACCTCCAAGCCGCTAAGAGAAGCTCAAAGCATTGCGCTTCCATAACAATGAACGGCGAGGTGGTGCAGGAGGCCTGCGCCGTGCTGCTGGAGTGCGTGCTAGGGCTTCGACTGCCTGGCTATCAGGAAACATATAAATTAGTCATGAAAAAAGCAAGATGGAGAATTAGGCAACCAGGTAGAGGCTGCCCTGCATCACGAAGAGGTACTTCCCTGCCCTGGCGACTGATGACTGCCCTGCCACCAGCCCACCACCAGCGACGGCGAAGACCCTGGCGTGGCGCAGGGACCCATCACAAGGACCCGCCTGATCCTTCATCATCGCACCGTGGTCTGCATACAGCCGCCACAACGACCTCCATCCGCCCCCCGTCCGCGATCGATCTTAGCCGCGAAGCGCAGCCAGCGACCTCCATTATCGCCCTCGTCCCGCGCCCACCGGTTGAATGGACCGCCCCCAAATGCTAGGTTCTATAGATCGACTCGCGACCCGCATCCCCCATTGGATACCCTCGATCGATTGCTACTGGATCCTCTCGATCCAGTGGTACTGGATACCCTCGCGCCCGGCACTTATAGCCTGGATCCACTGGTGCCTCGCCTGGATCCATACGCTGGCCACCCACATCGAAGCCGCGCCGGCCGCATCGAGCGCCGCCATCCCCTCTCTGTAGAACGATCCTTCGAGACGGAGCGGCACTTGTTTTTTTTTTTTGAGAAAAGGAGACGGAGCGGCACTCGCTGTGAGGTTCGTTTATTGCGTTGGGCCCAAGCAGGGAAAACGAGCCGGATGCAGCCCAATTAACCAGAGTGATCAGAAAAAGCTACGGGAGCAGCTGCCTTGCGACATTTAGCCCACTTCGCGATTAAGGTACAGCTAACTGAAGATCCAGCGGTGAAGAATGCTAAGTTAATGAAATGCAACGGCCAGAAACGTCTAATTACTGAGAGGGCAGGGATTAGGTGCAGTTTTACTGTTCTTAATTGCCTTCTTTGACTTTGTGATATGGCTGCATTTGCAAGTGCATGTGAGTGTGTTAATATCTAGTTTTGTCTCGATGTAGCTGCTGCATTTGCATGTGAGTGTCCTCTCCCTCTTAACACGACCACAACGTACGGCAACAGCCGGGATCAGAAAAACAATTCAGTTAGCCAGCTAACACAAAGGGAGAAGACACTCACGTATAGGCAAGCCTGCAATTGCCTCCTCATTTACTGTCTTCACCATGGCTTATAGTAAGAAAATACACCGTTTTTGTTAGTAATGTGTATTTTGTTTTATCTTGACCATAGAAACCGATGTCTTGCTTGAATATGGATTTCATTATGTGGTCTATCTTCGGGTGAGTCTGTAAACTTGTGCTCGATGTTTGGTCTACTCAAAGAGCACATAATTTCAGTTTACCTATAGAATGCCTATGTTTAGAATTTATATTATGATGGTATATAGTGCATTCAGATTGCCGGTTTATTTAGCCTACATGCAGTTGGAATAATTCCAAATTCCCTATTATTTTGTTCTTGCTTCAAAGATCGTCCAAATTTGTGTCAACAAATAAAAATTAGCCTAAGAACTTTGTTGGCACGCTTTGATATATACTTTTCAAACATGATTGCTGTTTTATGCAAGACTTGATATCAAATACTTGCAAAAAGGAAAACAGTCTACCAATTTACAGAGCAACTATGAGAACTATATTCCCAATATCTTTACTACAAAAAAGTTTTCCAGTGTCATGGTATAAAGAAAGTGAAACTTTGGGCTGCCAAAGCAGATTCTTACTAATTAAGTAAATAATTTCGAGAGGTCAAATTGGCTACTGGAGGCAACTAGTTGACCTGCATGTGAGTGAGTGTCTTCTCCCTATACACCAGCTGACTAACTGAGTTGTTTTTCTGACCCCGGCTGTTGCTATTGAGGTCGCGTTATATATCTAGTATTGACTGCTTTGATTTTTGTGACATAGCTACATTTGCATATGCATGTGAGTGTCTTTTCCGCAATATATATCTAGTCTTGTCCCGATGTGGTTGCATTTGCATGTGATGTGAGTGCCATTTCCTATTAACACGACCACATTGACAACAGCCGGGGTCAGAGAAACAATCCAGCTGTTAATCAGCTAGCACATAGGGAGAAGAACTCGCATCACATGTGTAGGCCAGCTAGTAATTGCCTCCGCATTTACCGTCTTCACCGTGGCTTAGTTAGCCCCTACTGTATAGGTAAGAAACCCTAGCATCAACAGCCGGTGTCAGAAAAACAATTCGGTGAGCCAGCTAGCTCATAGGGAGTAGTAACTCCCCCGCATTTACTGTCTTCACCATGGCTTTAGTTAGTTAACTCCTATAAAACCCGCACTGCACTGCGAGTTGTCTCGCTCATCTACAAGGCTACAACCCCATCTCCTGCAGCACAATCGTTCGTCCTCCAAAGCTAGAGTAACCTGTGGTGGGCGCACACTTGTTTCTTCTCATTCTGCGGACGGTACGTACGCAACTAGTATAATCTTTAACTGTGCATTTCGTCTGTCAAGATCAGAAACAAGTGCTTAATTAGCTAACCGTTCGTGTGTGCCTGTTTCAGGTTTAAGCGAAGCTAGACCAGCTCCAGGGGGGATACGTCTCCGCTTTGATCGCAAACCTAGCTATTAGCACAAGGTAAATTCCTTTAGGATATATATAAGGGTTCGTATATATGAAGTGCACTGTCCATGTTGTATTGTAGGAGGCGAGTCTCAGCCATAGTCATGCACCTGCTCGTAGAATATTTGATGATTTATATCCATGCTCACACCGGATCTAAGTACAATAAATCAACCATTCAGCATGAGTTGTGAGCTATCTCAAAAGAAAAAAAGTACAATAAATCACATGCAACTGGTAGTTGACTATTTCATTATTTCTGTATTTTCTTCCTGTATAGTCATCCTAGATCTGTTTTCTTAGGTATTATCGATAGTGGTTATTGCTTGTTTTCCTTAGGTAGAATCTTTATGATTTATTGTACGTCATGCTATTTCACAAAACAAAAACAAAAACAGAACTCATTCAAATTCTCAAAAAAAAAACTCGTACTAATTATGTTCAAATTTGACATTCAGGTACCTCGCGTGTCCAACATGTCTAATCTAAACCAAACCTGCTCCAATGATGCATTGGACTACTTCAATGAGAACATAGGGCTAAGAGGGCCAATCACGCGAGTCAATGCTCTCATAGTGGTTAACGCCATCTTGATGGGGTTCATGGTCGGTATAGGCGCCTATGGCCATCGCTACCGGCACAATCCACTGATCCGTTTCCTCTTCCTGGCTGCCACCATATTGTTCTTGCCCATTGTCTCTTATATTGTCTCTTCCAGCGGTTTAGGCATTGGCAAGTTGACCAGCATACTACACTATGGTGAGTTGCTCATAAAAGGGGAATGTTATACAGGATTACACATAATCTTCATCCTTATATGGACGGGTTTTGTCTTGATTATTGGTATCAATACCACTGCACTAGTGGCAGCTGATGCTAGGGAAGGTCGAAGCATTCATCCCAATATGACGCTACTTATTCAAGCATTATGGACTTGCTACCTAGGGATATACACCTCCAAAATGTTTGTTCTCAAAAGTTTCGGCAACTTATTGCTTCTTGGGGCAGTTGGTTTTATATTTGTCAAATTACTTCTGAAGTATTATGCATGGTGCATTGCTAGAAAATCATTAGCCTTTGGGCGCAATCCTCGTCTTATTGTTGGATACATGGAGCAGCTACAGGATGGAGGCCATATTGTTATGTCAGAAAGTGAGCATATACCTCCTCCACTTATAGTTACTGGTGAGCACAACATGCAGGTGCAGGAGAAGCCTTGTGGCTACAAATTCAAGTGGATATCCAGCAGAGTGACAGGTGATATGAACAGCAAGGGATTAGTGACCTTTGATAAAGTCTGGCAGTTGAATGACACACTTTTGAGGTCAAAGTCACTAGAGCTAAAAGAACTATGCTTTTCATTCGCATTATTTAAACTGCTACGGTGTCGAATTGCAAGGTACACAATTACTGAGGTTGGTTTCATCAAGGGCAGTAACTTCTTGCGACAAATGTTGCTTGAAGATAATGATGGTGAGAGAGTATTTGCGGCAATTGCACATGAGCTTTCTTTTCTTCATGATTATTATTATTCACCCCATCCAATCACATATTCAAGAAGTTGGCTGCCAATTGTGAGCATATTCATTTCAATACTGAGCATATTTTACAGCTTAGTTGTCTTGAAAGATATAACGATTGGTGTTGCCATTCCCCTGGTCAACTTGACCAGTCACCCGGAAGGGCAGATTAATTGTTATATCTCCTGTATCGAGATTTCTTCGGACACTTCAAGAAGTTTGAGCACACGAGGAGGAAGTTCAATAATATCTTTTGGAACTCTGTACTTCGATATCATGCCATTGTATATACTTGCTGCATTAGTTATGCTTAACGAGGTTAGGGACATAGCATCATACATTTGCTCTAACTGGACTATAGTAGCCTTGGTATGTCAATATGTGAAGCATGGTTCTAGGCGACAATCTGCTACCATGCAGAGATGTGTTAGTTGTGTGCTATGGATCAAAGGCAAGTTCACAAGGAATTCGGAGGACAAAATGAGTCAGTCCTCAATTTTGGCGCTCCACCCAAGGAAAACTCCAATGGCTCTTCTTCAGCGTCTTCATCTAGCAGGCCAACCTAAGAAGACACCAAGTGCAGTGAAATCTGCTATCGTTGGTGCACTGAGAAACAGCTACAAGAGAGGACAAATCAGTGGTCATGTGCCATCTTTCCAAAGGATCCTACATCTGCAAGACGACAACAAGATAATTTGGACATTTGGGGAAAGAGGTACAACCGAGATCATGCTTGTATGTCACATTGCCACGGCAATCCTCGGAGCAAGGTCGCGACCGCATCAACCTCCATCCAACTCTGACCATATGTCTGCTGCCAATCACATATCGCAGTATTGCGCCTACCTGGTGGCACACTGTCCTGAGCTACTTCCTGAAGATGATGAATGGTGCAAGAGCCTATACAAGGCCATCAAGAAAGATGCCAAGCGTGTACTCGTTGGCAAAAAAATTAGGCAGTCGATGACATCTGAGCTGGAGTGCCAGAACTGGTTGATTGAGTTGCTGTGTGCAGAGGGTAAACATGAGGTGCTCTTGGATGGCGCGAGGCTTGCGGAGCGGTTGGTTGGGCTAACTGAAGAAGAAGGAGAGGAGATGGCGTGGAAGGCCCTCGCAGTCTTTTGGTCAGAGATGATCCTGTATGTCGCCCCGTCACACAACATCGATGGGCATTTGGAGGCGATCGCCCGTGGCGGCGAGCTGATAACTCTTGTCTGGGCTTTGGTCACCCACCTCGGCATAGTCGGTAGGTCCGACGACATCACTGATAGTGCTACTACCATTGATGTTTAAGTGTGCAGTACATGTTCATAACTGCTTAATTTGTTGTATCTTTGGCTATCTATTGCCCTCATTGTACTCTTTCTGGTTCCTGATTTTGTAATTGTATCTCTCATCAAGTTGAAGTAGCAGTATCTCAAGTATATCTAGTTATAGGTATGTTCACATGCCAAGAAACTGCAGTACCATTTGTTCAGTGGTACCAATCAATTGATCTTGTTTAGCATTTTTATATGGACAGTAGCATTGCGTTCCTGTACAATTTTGGCTATGGAAACAATCAAATGAGTTCATCGTGCCACCATAGGAAGAACAAGCATGGAAGAAGAACACTACTTTGTAACGGGGAAAAATATCGATGAAGGTACTGTAGTACAATACATTATAAAAGTATAGAAAAGTGGTACAAGCCTATTTACATGAAATGTTGAGAAAGAAAATGGAACTAAAGTTAAGTTGTATTCAGATATTAAACCGAGTAAGGTGCTTGTTCTTGGCTCTATCGATAACCAATACGGATTGGTATCATCAATATAGCAAGCTTATGGTATCATCAATATAATGGGTTTCCATTTTTCTACACCTGGACCAGGAGTACAGCCAATAGCCGTAATTCTCAATACATTACCTAGGAGCATTGTGTAGTTTGTCCAATGTAATTTCTACAGGGGCGGAAAAGTAAAATAATTTGCAAACACCATAACAGAGCTTGTACAGCTACTGTAATTGCATCAACTGAGAGGCTTCTCTGAATCCCTGTCAAATAAGCCATGCGATCCCAGCAGTGCAATGAAGTCTCGGCGAAAGAAAAAAATAATTTGTATGGTATCATGAGCAAATACCAACAATCAAACGAATTACTATGGCAGTAACTTGGCAAGCAAGCGGTAAGATCTAATCTCAGCAACATAGGCACACATTTATGTAGGAGATGAGAGCCATTCAGTACAAGCTAGTGGATTCAAAATCAGCAGTGTGCAGTGCTTTCAGTTGTATAACAAACAAATAATCCCAAATAGGCAAACTCACGGCTAGCTAGGCTGAAGTGAAGGACTAACGCAACTACACAGGGCGGGGAGACTGGATCAGAAGGAGGAGCAGATTAAGCAAGGACGGGAGAGAGGGGGAGGGACCTTTTGTCTTTGGAGATGTTGGACTGCGCCGAGGCGACGACATAGAATGAGCACCCAATCTTGCCTCACACCTCATGAGCCGCTGCTTGTATGTATCTTGTGACTCGGAATTAACTAGGGGCTTCAATTCCCATACTGGCATGTCATCAAACATCATGTGGTCGCTGCAACGGTGACGTCCACGCCCAGTGTCGAACATCTTGTGGGCGTGGCGGGTGTGTGAGGGCGGGCAGAACATGAAGAGCAGCGACACGGTCGTCGAGAGCAACCGTGGGTGGTGAAGGCTTGGTCGTCGGGGGCAACGAACTTGGCCTAGCCTGACTATCGACGTGGCTGTGGCGGCAGGAGGTGATGCCATGCTACTCGCCCATGCTGTGGAGGTGTTGGGAATGATGGTCGACCATGCGTGTTGGATGTCAAGATGACAGCGGCTATCAAATATACACTGGCCTTGAAAAGCATTTGGAGCATATGCTGCCTCCTGCCACACTCGGAACTCGGAACTCGCTGCACCACCTCCACCTCCTTTCAAATATAATGCCTGCGCCGTAGGCATCAATCAAACACCTGAGGGAGAAGCGACTCGGGAGTCGGGTCACTGTGACGCCAAGAGATGTGAAGGTGGTTGCCGCTCGCCGCCCAGGCATTGTATCGAACAGCTGGCGAGCGACTCGGGTCCAACAACCTGCGTGCACATTCGTGCCATTCCCACCTGAGCCAAGAGTCGGTCCCGGTGTGGAACATTGCCGCGGGGGTGATTGCGCCCGCAGGGACGATGCCTGGTCGATGTGTCGAGGACCTAGCGTGCATTGCCCGCGTCCTCACAAACTACAGCAACAGCCGTGGAACCCTCGGCCGGCTTGATCGCTCCCGCTGCTGCCACACCATCCATCGTCCGACCCACGTCACCCAACACAGCTTGCACTCCAGATCGAGAGAAATCGAGGTTGGAGTAGCACCACCACCACAATCGGAGCACTCATCAGTGAGAAACGACGGAAATTGTGGGGATTTTCTAGGAAATTGGTGGGCTCTGAATATCCAATAGTCACAACCCGTCACCCGAGATTCCGAGGACCATGTTTATCTTGATACTCATAATAAAATGGCTATATGCATCCCCCTGGTTGGTGCAGTGCCGGGAAGTGAAAATCTCTCCCGTTTTAAAAGGTAATCATTTTATCTTCGGTGACCCCCGCGTCGTCTCTCTAGCGGCTCGGGGGAGAAACAGCCCAGCCGCCGCGACTCCTCCTCCGCACCTCCTAGTGTCGCCACCGCCGGAAGGGACTCCCTGGCAAAGGCCGGGTTGACCCTGAGGAAGGTGGTGGCGGGGCATCTGTCCCCTGTGGTGGCGCGGGCGTGCAGGCAATCGGCGCTGCAGAGGATCCGTGGACGGCGGCGGCCACTGCTGCGGGTTGGACCAAGCACCATACTCCGAAGGGCCTGGCTACGGGCGCTGTGGTGCCGGTGTGGCCTGGGCGGTCCCTGCTGGGCGGCTTAGGATTTGGGGATCCTTCCCTGATCTAGGGCGCTGGGTAGGGCATCCAGGCCGGGTTCAGCCCGTCCGGCGGCGTGGCGGCGGCGGTCGCCTCCTGCTGTGTGCTTGCGTGTTGGTGGTGGCCGGCCAGGAGGCGGCGGCGGATATGCCTTCAGATCTGTCGGTGGCAAGTTTGAAGTGACAAGACTACCGGTGAATACCGAGCCTTGACTATGGCCATGGCGGACGATGGCGGCATCTTTAGGCGTCGTTACCTTGTCGAAGGCATCGTCATAGCAAGTCGCGTTGCTCCTTTCGGCCTGCTCTGGGGGAAACCCTAGATCTGTTTCCACGGATCGGACGATGGTGACGTCAGGCGTCGCGCTCCTTGCTGGAGGCGTCGTTTTGGAGCAGGTACCGACTTGGGTGGACAGGTGGTGGAGCGGTGTGGTATCTATCGTGTCATCGGCGACTGGTCTCGGCAGCGTGGCGCAGCGGGGTCTCGCCGACAGATGCGTGACGATGGACGCGCGCAGGGAGGTGGCGCTGTCTGGCGTCAAGGTGGTGTCGACGGTAGCTAGACCGGACAAGGTAGATGCAGAGTACAGGCACAGCACTAAAGATGGATTGATGGCAGGTGACTGCGGCGACCTCATACCCGGCAGACGTCCTGGTTGAGGAGTGCGCCGGACTGCTGGGTGCCCCATACCCGGCAGGCATCCCGGTTGGGACCTCAGGTCTTAGATGTTAGGTTTGGCTGCGAGATCTGTTTGGTATTAGGCCCAGACTATCAGCATTCTTTCATCAACTGGATAGGAGTAGCAACAGATGTTGCCTAGACGGTGGCTTTCGTCTTACTGTTGTATGACTTTGTAAGGTCTTGTGTGAATAATTAATAAAATGACTGCATACATCGTTCCAGATGCAGAGGCCGGGGGTCCTCCTTTTCTGAAAAAAAGCAACCCGTCACCGGAGGTGTGCAGAGGATACAAAGTTCTTGCTTGTGGAGAGCAACCACACCAATGGAAGAAGAGGGGAGTTTCTTCAGTTTGCTCTCTTCTGCTCCTTCCATCCATGCATGGTCAAACCGGCTCAAACAGGAGCAATATGCTCGAGTCAACCTCCTTCCAGGTTTGTCGCCTCGCCGCATGTCCCTCCTCTGTCTGCGAGGTCTCCCATCTCTCCTTCTCCATAGCCACCCAATCCAATCGCCCCCTCTTCTTCCCCTGCCTCTACTCCTCTTTATTGTTCATGTACTCAAGTCTCATTAATTCCCTGCCTCCCCTTCTCTTCCCAACAAGTAATTGCTTAGACTAGCCACAGTGCATAGTAACATACACTAGTAATATACACATGTCCCTAGACTATGTTACTACTTTCATAGTGGGTAGTAACATAAGTGTGGTAACATGCAAAGCTTCATTTATGAAGTTATAGACTCATATTGCATTGGGAAATGTGATATTACAGTAACTAGCTAAGTTACTGTAACTACCTCTCTCCTCATTAAATCATTGCCACATAAGCAAATTTGCTGAGTTGGACTCGATGTTACTGCTGAAGTTACTTCCACTGTGGCTAGTCTTAGCTTTGTAAGAGTCCAAGTAATTGCTCCTCTTTCCTAAGGTAAGCAGAAGAAGAGGTTGCTTAGCCTGGAGTCAAGTACTCAGCTGCAGGCAAAGTTCTATCTAAACCTTTAGCTCCGGCCGTAGCCCAGAGCTGCGCGTCGGGCTTGATATCTTCGGCAAGGTCGATCGAGGATGGGCTCTTGCCGTCAAATAGGACAACATTACTGTGCTTCCAAATAGACCATGCAACGAGGGCGATTACAAGGAATTCATGCACTTGCGCAAGCGCAAAGCTCTTTTTACCGGAGCTGGTACCTAGCGGTTAGGTATCCATCGTTCATTGACTACGCCAAGATTCGTGTGACTGCCACGCATTAATTTTCAGTTTTTGCTATACAGTATCTATACGTAGCCAAATACAGTGAATGGACCCCACTGAAACTGTTGTTTAATCAGATGCATGCATGCTCCTCCCTCTCTTATGTACAACAGTACACATGCATGACAGCAAAAGTACTGGTGCAGTCTCTCTCCTTTCTTACACAACAAATTCATCTTTTTATTTCATCTTTGTTAATTTGAATCATTTATATCTTTTAAATAAAAATTCATTTTTGAATTTTTTTATATATTTGAACTCCTGGCGCGGAGATCTTTAAAACAAGGTCAATATTGAATATATTTTGTCTACTTTTAGTTTTGTTATTTCAATCATATTTCCATTTCAGTTATATATTGATCAGTGAAATCTGTTAAGTTAGTGAAATATGCGAGTTAAATTGGGTGAAATCATTCATTCAAATTATTGAAATCAACCGTTTTGAAATGAGTTAA